TGGCAGAGAATCAGCCCTGCAGCGATTTGAGATTAGGGAAGAGAATGGCACCTTCTCAACCACACTGTGCTGAGGGATGCACACATAAGCTCTTCTTGGTTCTTGTTGTCAAAATGTTAAGAGCACTTATATTACAGGGATGTAGCAATGCTGATGCTTCCACTGAGGACCATTACTGGCCTAGGATATGCAAACCAAGGTAACGTTTCTTCAGCCAAATCGAGGGATGGCTGAAAAGCTGGGCATTGCCGAATCTGATAGGATTCATGAAGGAGATGCACTGCTACCCTGTGACTATATCCACCTGCAAATCAGGCACTCTGCTGATTGATGGCACCTTCCAAACCAATGTATGCTTTTGAGACTACTGTATTCCAAAATGGAGGAAAATCTTCACAGATAAAAAATGGCTGAGGAATGAACATCAAGCTTTTCCTGTCCCTTTGGAATGAGCATCTCCACTGCCTGACTCGTGCCGGGCCAGGGACTTCCATTCAATGGATTTTCTAACAGGTTTCGCAACCAGGGGGAAATGCTGGTAAAGAAGGAGTCCCAGGGCAAACGGCAGCCAAGTCTGAGAAAAAAAAGCTTCTCATCCGTGTCAGTGAAAAAACAAGAGTCGTCTGCCATACACCCATAGGAACACTGATTTTTCTGGAGGGTACTTGGCTGTGAAAGTCACTAGTTCTGAAGAAGATGTTTGTGGAAGCTGAGATGCTCGTCAGATTAAGCAGGGCTAAATACATTTTCAAATCTTAGGAGGATGCCACAGCTGAGACCTAGCAGGCTCTGTCAAGCCATTGTAAACCCGATAGTGGAAATAAGTGCCAGGACAGAACTTGCAGCTTAGATCCCAGAAACCAGCTTTATGCCTATGGGCAACTCACTCCAAGCAGAAGCGCAGTGTGAGCAGCAGTGCTCACGAGATCAGTGAGAGGAGGAGGAGGTTCACAAAGCAAACGTTGCCACGGGCTCTTGCTGCTGCAGCAAGTGAAGTATCTGCCATAGGAAATTGGTTGTTCTCCTACCAGCGGATAGTCCGAGAAAGTGTGCACAGGTAGACAGGTACATATCAGAGGTTATGTTTGTGCATTGATAAAATCTAACAACTCTTTCCATAAAAGATCCTTCTTTGAATATATGCTCTGAAAATGCCTGGAAATTTCCATCCATGTCTTCCTCTGTGAAAAGGACTGGGTGTATTTTCATAAAATAATACTTTGTCGGCTTTATGTATAAATTTATTTCTGGTGCAACGACGACTAGTTCATGCCCCTTCTGCACTGAACCATCTAAAACCGCCCACATGCTGAGCCAACGACTCCCATTAAACAGTACCACCAGCAGCTTCCCACCAGCAGCCAAACTGAGCACAGACAGGAGCAGAACCAACGTCGCCGTGACCTGCGGATGAGCACTGAGTACCGGGGCCATTTCTGCAGCAACCTGGTGAGTGCTGCCCAGAAAGCAAACCCCTGGCAGCACTGAAACAATAGCACCAGCTCCGCACTTTTTAAACACTCATCTCTGCTACAGCCCGACTTTTGATCCTTGGTGGTATTTTCTCTGTGGTCAATGGATAATCCCTGTTTTGATAAAAAGCTGCATAATAAGTACCAGAGTCCAGCGATTTATGAGGGCGGGTGTTAAAAGTGAATGCATCAGATAAGCTCCATCTGTCTTTCTGTCCTAGAAACTCTGGCAGCCCTATTGCCTTTGAGCAGGATCTGCCAGCTCACCATAGACCCTTCAGGCTCATGGAGACTGACTTTATTCTCAGATCTTCCATGGCATCACCAAGACAAGATCTTCTGAGGCCTGCCTGTCAACAGGGATGATGCTTTTTAGCCTGAGAGT